GGATATATGTGCATCAGCCTCTTATAAATTGCCAACCACCAGAATGTTATTCATTTGTATTTCATTGCAGCAACCAAACTATGTGGCAGGCAGGACCAGATCCAGCTATACTGCAGCCTGAACAGACAGCCGCCTAGAACCTGCCGAAATACCTGCCTTGTGGAGGAAGTGAAATGATCATCAGTTTTCTTGGTGGGGGGGCTTCCCGAGTTATACTTTGCTTGAAAAAATAGAGCTGGCCCTGTTGGTAGGGACACTAGGTCAGTAAACCACACAGCTGCCTTGCTAGAGAGATAAAAGACCACAAGGGGCCCAGCTTTTAAGAAGTCCATTTCAGAGACAAGTTACAGCACGGGTGTCAAACTGCACTCCTGGGGGGCTGGAGCTCTGCACTGTCAGGGTCAGCTCCTGTCCCACTCTGTGTCCCTTCCCCGTTTGGCCAGCAGGTATTGCTGGTCATCCCGTCCCTCGTGTTGTCAGTCTTTGTGTCTTCCCCCCTGTTCCCTGTTGGCCACAAATTGAACAGCCGGTTGTCTGTGAACCCTTCTGTCCCATGTTTGAATCCCACCTCCTGTTTTTGTATTTTGCTCCCTAGTGTTTCATTTGAGTTTTTCTATTTCTTGTGTCTGGTGATTTTGTATTTGGTTTTGGTTTCGTTCCTTGTGCCCCTGCTTGTGTTTTTACCTGTCTGTAATTCCCCAGTGGTAGATTATGTTCCCTGGTTAGTTCTTAGTTTCCCTGTTTTAGTTCCCTGAGTTAATTAGTTTCACCTGTGACCTGTTTTCTCAGTCTTTGTTAATTAGTCTCACCTGTCCTGTGATAGTCTTTTTACCCAGTTTTAGTTTCAGTATTTAAGTCCCTGCATCTGTTCTGTTCCCCAGAAGTTTGTTGTATTGAGATGTTTGATTGTGAAGGTTCTGTTGCTTGTGCTTGATTATGATTCCCAGTGTTAGATGTTATCTGCCCTGTTTTTGTAGTTAGTCTTTGTTTACTTTTGACCCCTCGTGGTCCTTTGTTTTTGTTAGTGTTTTCTTGTGTCTTTTAGTTCATTTAATAAACCCCGTTTTTTCTCTTGGAGCCGCCAGTGGGTCATCCACCTTTTTCTGCCTGCACCATGCCACGTTCTTGCGCCCGAACCACCCGGATCCCTGACATGCACATTTTTGGGTTTCCCCTCATTTAACACACCTGATTCAACTCCTTGTGCTAATTATCACAAAGCTCTTGATTGATTTGTGGTGTAACAGGGAAAGAACTAAGCTACACGAGGCTCCAGCCCTCCAGGACTGCAGTTTGACACCCCTGCTTCACAGACTGTCCTGTGCGAATCCACGGTGCTCTTTAACTCTTCCCAGACTCAGGACTCAAAGCATTATAATCAAAATCACTATGTTCATAGATATCCCTGCATCTGCGGTGATCACTGGCTACCATCAGATCTCAAGCTTAAATGTCGTCTCAGGTTAAACAATCCTGTCTGGATTCCGTGTGAGGGATTCTGTGTGCTGGTTTCTGTGGCATCAGCACAGGAGAATAGATGGAATCTCCTAAACATCTAACATGTCCCTGTCCTACATGGCTTATCATTCACGTCGCACTGCATCCTTCACAGCTAATCTTATTGAAACAACACAAAACATGTGATGATGTGTAGCTTCTTGTTTACTTGTAGTATTGCTTGTAAAAGAAATTAACCTTAACTGAAGAACAGCTAAGTGAATTAAGATGTCAAGCCTCCCTTATGGTTTGAGACATAATCCATAAAATAACAAGAATCCTTTGTCTTAAAAGACAAAGATCTCAGCTCTGCATTCCAGTTGAGACACTAAAACTGGTTGCAACTCAACAGGGACCTTAAGGAGGCCTCTTGAATATCTAGTAACATGGATGTGGCAGTGTTTCTAGCATATTCCATATTCACCCCCATCTGTCCCTGGATCCAGTGGTGAGGAGGCTCCCCCAGTGACAGTTCCCTGGGGACTGGGGTGATACCTTCCTCTGTGGCCACTGGAGAAGATTTCACGCTCCATTGCCCCCTGCCTTGTCATGACAGAAGTGTACATGCAAAGCTGGTTTATCGTGTCTTAGAACCATCAGTCTTCCATCCATCCATCCATTCATCCGTCCATCCATTCTTCGAAAACTTATTGTGCTCAGGTTCCTGGCATGTTGTTCTTTGTAAACAATTGGAACTATAGAATATTACGCTAATGTGACCCTTTACAAATATAGCTGTGTGTACCTGCCGGTGTGTGCCTTATTAGATATTTTGGTAACGCTTTACATTAAGTGCATCTTCATAATGCTTTTATATTGCATTCCTAAAATGTTCAGTACACCTTCATAATGTATTCATTAAGTATTCATAAATCATTCATAAACATCATGCATGTATACCTTAACATCCTAACATTCCTTAACAGCTGTAATATACATTAATAAAACATTACATAAGAATACATTAATAATAGTGATACATATTATCAATAATGTATATTAATAATATATATTAATAATACATTCATAACACATTACATAATAATAAATATTGAAATTGTATAATCATGCAATGTTTGTTATTAATGTATATTAAAGCTGTTAAGGGATGTTAGGATGTTAAGGTGTATTTGCATGCTGCTTATAAATGTTCTATGAATGCATTATGAAGGTGCACTGAATGTTCTATGAATGCATTATGAAGGTGCACTTAATGTAAAGTGCTACCAATATTTTTAATATCTAAACACAGCAGCCATCGTATTGCACATTTCGGTTTGTCTGGCTGCCATCACAGCATGGTCTACATACACCTGACTGCTGTCCACAGCCCTGAGCTGCCGCCAGCTGCTCTGAGCTCCAATGCCAGCAGCACCTTCTTAGCCTCTGGCTACTTCTGTCTTTGGTGCTGACCCTGTTACGCCCAGAGAAACAGAAGCCATTAACAGCATGGCTGACAGGAGTACAGGGGCTCAGCAGAGCTGACATCTCTATGTGTCTTGAGCAGGAAGCCTGATGATTACACTTAAATCGTCACCCACAATGCATTGGCGTTATGGTCAAACATAAATGGGAAGATCTCCATCTCAGCTATGGAGAACTGGAGCATACTCTTCAATGTACCAGGCACTTTATATTTGCATTACTGCAAAAAAACTTGTACTAACCTCATAAACTGGACTGATAGATGTAATAGAGAGCTACCTGAACCTGGGCTGCTGGGCAGTGTGTACTGGTGATATTTCTGAAGAGTGATCATGAACTTAGAAATGAGAAAATTTGCAAAGTTATAGCCAGCCAGGCATTTCCACAGTGACCCAAAAGCCTACAATTTTACAAAATAAGCCACCAAGCTGAAAATCTATTACAGCTGATGAGTGATACTGACAAGGGTGGGTTTTGTTTCTTTGAAGCTGAGGTCTATTGAGTTTTCTGCAAAATAAGCAGGAGAAAATCTTTTACGTAAGTGGCGTCCATCGTCTTCACAGCCCATTTCTCATTGCTCTGTTGAGAATATTTATCAGGTATTCATTCCCAGCTGTGCCCTAACCGTGACACTTTTTGCAATAAATCAACCAGCATTGGCCACTGAGGACTGCACTGACGAAACGGCATATTGGGAACACAGAGCCAGACCTAATAAAGGGCCATTTCTCCTTCTTCTTCTTATGTAAAAACCAACTCGAAAAACAAAGCTGTGATTCTTGTATTATGAATCCCCATTATTATGGTGATCTGGAAAAGTACTTGTGTGGCAGCTTAAACTGAACATCACTTGTTATAAAAACTAGGAGCACATCACATCTGATGAACAGAACTGACTGCATCATCACCTCACCAGCTACATCTGTTCTGTAATTTCTCCCTCCCTCTTTTTCTCATTATCACTCTCTCAAGAGAAAGGGAGTAGAGGAGAGCGGAAAGTAAATGTGATCTAATGTTGCCAAGAGGTCTCAAACTTCATTCCATGTGACTGGCCATCCGTCCAAAACCCCAAGCAACGACACGAAGGCCTGTATTTGCAAAAGGCCCTTAAATTACATTGGTCGTTGGTCTTTATCCGTCACCGTTTTTCAAGCACCGCAGCATCTGGTGCACAGTGGAAGGCCTCGAAGAATAGAAGCGGCACCTGCGAACTTGCCACAGAGGGTTCCGTGCTCATCAAATTCCCTTAGAAGTGCTTCCAGCTCAGGTTGGCCAGCACGAGAGCTTTCTACGTGAAAATAGGCCAGTGTGCCACTGGAGCTCTGGGTTCCCCCCTAAATGTGTGTGAAGTTAAGCCAGCCGCAGGGACTCCCTATTATAAACTGCAAATGGGAGCAGCTTGTCAGTTAGTAGCAGCCTCAGAAGCATTCAAATACTGTTCCCTTATTAAAGATGTGTTCAGAAACAAAAATACACAAGCATACAGTATTTTCAGTAACACTTATGGCCACGTTTTACAAATTTATAAACACATTCATAGTGCATTATGAAGTATTATAAACATGATTATAAATATTTCTAAAAATACATAACACATTATGGCCATGTATATTATGCATTCTGACTGCCTTATGAAGCTCTCATCTATAATGCACTATACATACATTTATAATGCAGTATAACACATCCTTAATGCTTATACTATCCATTATAATGCATTATGAAGGTACCTATAGTGCATTATAGATGAGAGCTTCATAAATCATTCATTATGCATAATACACATGGCTATAATGTGTTGTGCCTTTTTATAAATAGATATAGCCATGTTTATAATGCTTTATGAATGCATAATTATTTGTTATGAATGTGTTCATAAATGACTAAAAACATGGCTTTAAGTAAAGTGTTACCACATATTTGCACTGAAAACTTCTCATCATAAATTTCTTATTTGCATACTTACAATGCAAAGTTTGTTTGTCCCTGATTGGAAGACATGTGATTCTCCAACATGTATGCACATGTGCACATGCACACATATGATGACAGCATACTCGGAATATCCATTCACATACCTGACTGCCTTGGGTCCTGTTCACAGCTGTCCATACCCATAATAAAGAAGTAAATATACACATCAAAATTATTCCCTTTAACAGTTAGGGGTCTGGTACAGAGACTTCTCTCCAGTAACAGAGCTGACAAGCTCCCAAGACATTCCCAGCACTGATACACAGACATAGAGATGACAGTACTTACTCTGTTTGTTCTCTACTCCCATAGGCAGATTTCCACCATGACTAATCCATCCCTTCCTTTACTGTGATAGAGAGAGAGAGAGAGAGAGAGAGAGAGAGCAGTAATAGAGGGAGAAGAGGAGGGGTGAAAGAATGAGGAAGGGGGCGTGAGAGAGAAACAAAGGAGAGGGTAGGTAGAGACAGAGAGAAAGACTCTACAGTCTCTGCAGAGACACATTGGCTGTTCTGAGAAACCGCAGCAGGAAACAGTTAGCGACGCTGGCATAGGAAGCTGCCTATTTAGAATGGGGAGTCAAGCTGAAGGGGGGTAGCAGGGGACAGGGAGGCAGGTCATACCACCAGGTGGTAGATTGCTAGGACCGGCGGGCAGGTTGCTGGGATGAAGAAGGACGCGTGTAGCTGAGATCTAGCAAAGCCAGGCCATAAATAATGAGACATCAATCTCCACTGCTCTTCCGAACCATCGCCAGGCAGAAATGGCGTTAACCGTTGCAAAGAATCAGGCAAGATATAGGACAGCAAAAGAGTCAGTGGCTTAAAACTCATTATGTAAATTGCTTTATATCCCTCTCCTGTTATAAATCTTTTTCGGATGGTTACACAGAATTTATTGCAGAGGACCTTGGAAGGAGTAGTCAGGATGCATTGTAAGCATCAGAAATTTCCTGGAGGAAGAGCATGTGTAAGGCTGTGCTGAGGCTGCTGGGTAATGCCTTTCAAATGGGGGGGGGGCAGGAGAGAGAGGTGTGGATGCGCTAGCTTAGCTGATCCAGATGCCTCCCACCAGCAGCTCCCGTGACAGACACCCAAGCCGAATGACGCTGCCCACGCGATGTCACCGCACGCATGCAACGCAATGTCACCACACGCATGCAACGCGATGTCACCGCACGCATGCAACGCGATGTCACCGCACGCATGCACGAGTGGGCCAAGGAAAAGCAGCCGACGAGTAAAGAAGCAAGTGCTGAAAATGTTGGCTGTCTTGTGCCTAACATGAGTAGCTGAAAATGAGTGCCAAGCGGGTGTTTGAAGGGCAGTGCTCCAAATGCTGGTGCGCGCATGCATGCTTTTCTCATTAACAGCAGTTTGTCTAAGATAATACACAGCTTGAGGCTTTAAACCCACAAACACAATAAGACTTGACTGAGGTTAAAAGAATGATCCTCACAGCAAGTGACATCCATAAAATGAATAAATGCTAATGCTTGCTATTTCTGTAATGCGCTACATACTGAACAAACTGCCCTACGCAGTGAACACAGAACAAATAATAATACAAATGTAATAACTTTTGTGCCGAGGGACTGGGGGAAAAGGGGGCATTATTCATCAAGCTGTCTCTCTTCAGGTTTTTGATTAATCTGGTTTTGCTTGTTCTTGAAAGAGACCCTGTTCCTTACACTGGGTGCCATGCGTCAACGTTTTCATGGAGAAAAATCATGAAAAATTAAAGGTGAATGGTAAGTACTCAAAACACTGTTTGTGTGGAAGAAAGCAAATAAAGGGGCAGTGCGATAGACCTCAAATGAATAAGCAGCAGAGCCTAAGGCAGTGACTCTGCTTGGTCAGTTATTCTCTGCATTCATGAGCTTTTGATTCTGCACATGACGGACCGCATATCTGAAATGGAGTATAAATTATTCCCATATTGTGCTGAATTGGAAAACGATTTTCATTTTGAATTTAAGCATTAATTGAAATTTAATTCTGGGTCCCGTAATACACAATGGCATGCTGAGGATGGGGAAAAAAGCTGATTGCTAGTCCAAACCAGGCTACTTGTAAACGCAAGCTTGTTTTGGTTCATCAGGATGTTTCACTTAAAAGATATTGGAAAGGAATTATGGCGGAAATGGGAGAAGGATGGTGAAGGAGTAGAGATGCGCCGTGAAATGGCAATGGGGTGAGGGGAAGGATGGATAGAGAAGAGGATTAAAAAGTGAAGATTATGAGGTTTTGTGAGTCAGACCGAGGGAGAAGGGCCAGCAAATCAGTGACTTTTATTCTGACATATCTCCAGAGTATTTTAAAAAGATGTATAAATTATAACATTAAAATATTTAAAGTCAAGTATTTGTAAGAAAATGCATTAACTCCAGCATGTATGTCTTCCTGTGCTTTTTGCAAAACCCAGAACTGTAGAAATTTTTGAAAGTGGTCAAAAAGTAAATATTAATCGAATGACAAATCACAATATATAATTTGTAGCTTTTTTGACTGTTTTCCAGAACACCAGAGCTCTGATCTTTTTCTTTAGTTCTGTTTGTTTTGTTTTGTTTTTTTTCCCATCAGCAGTATATGCCTAGTTACACCCTACATGAAACTTCCTGCAATCGTAACTATTCAGGGCATGTTTTGATTTGCTTGCATTTTGACTTGCATCTTCAAAGCTTCTGTCCACCAGATCAAGTAGAATATGAATGGAAAAGTCTGCATTAAAAAAAGACCTGATCAGTCTTCCTTAAACAAATATGTGCATAGTCTGCAAGAAGGGAAACCATGACTAATCCAAGTTCTGCATAAAGCGGATCATAAAGACTTAACTTTTGTTTACACAGTACATTTTTCAGTCTACACTGGAATTATCGGAATGAAAAAAGCCACATTCTCACTAAGCAAATGACATCACCTTCCACTGTGCATTTGTTGCCATGGCAATTCATTGGTTTTTTTTTTTTTTTTTTTGGCAAAGCAATATTATGCTCTACAAATTTACCTCAGTTTCATTGCACCCTTCACTCTCTGTTTTCCAGTTTCATGGCCGGCAAGCCTTTTATGGTGTTGCTGTCTTCATTTTGTGTGTGTTCAGCTGGGGAACTCCATGGAGTCAGTCCATAACAGCAACAAAATAGAGCCAGCAGTCTGTGAAGTAAGAAAAAATGGGGGAAACACAGGCCTTTGTGGTCCATTTGCCTTTGCTGAGGGCCAAATGAGTTTAAACATATAAACTAACACAAACAGCAATGTTCAGCTTCACATAGCAGCGATAGCAGGAGTAACAGCTGCAGAAGCCACAGTAAACAGCACATATGTTTGACCTGAGCCAGAGCATTAGTAATACATGGAGAGTTTTTCCAGGTAATTACCATCTGCTACTCATTCCTCAGCTCCAGATGTGATGACACTGCACATGGCATTGTACAATAATATTATACAAGTGGCCCTGGGCACCCTGGGTAAGTATGAAAGGTGCCAGGTCATTTACCAAGGGGGGGTCATGCTTTTGGATACTTCAGCTTTTACCTGAACTGGTGCAGTAACACATCCAGCTGTATTATCAGACCAAATGTCTCTAAAATCTATTTTGCATGGGTGCATCTGCTAAACAGAAAACCTGGCACACTGGTAATGAGCCTTCAATATGCAGCAGGAGTATTCTTGGACCAAAGGTCACCAGCTTTCTGCCAAGGTCATCTGAGCTGGGCCACGGCTGGGCCTGTTCCAGGCGTCGCTCGCACACTAAAATATGCAGAGATAAACCTGCAAGGAGAGAGAGCTGATAGGAAGAGAAGAAGAAGATTACACTCCTGAGATGCACAGGTCACAGAGCAGGACTTCCTGAAGGATGCTGGGGAATATAATTTATCATGGTGTCTTCAGTGTCCAGGTGTTCAACTGTGGTGATAAGAGAATATTACTATTGTGTTGTGCATTTGCTTTCTTTTCCCCATTCTATGCATTTAAAATATATCTGGAAAAATAATAATTAAAAGACAGTAAAATTAGTGAGAACTGGCTGTAACTGATACAATATGGCCTAAACAAAGTTTATTAGGGACATTAGGATTAACAGATGTAAAAAAAACTGTGTAACTTGTATATAACTTGCATTTATATTTTTTGAGAGCACAGAAACTCTGTGGCAACTTCGTGTCCCTAGAGTACAACGTGCACAAGCTGTACAACCTCTAATTCGAAGTTCAAAACTACAGTCCAAGAGGAAGGTCCTGATCCTGCTTGCAGCTATACATTAAGCCAGAGGGCGAGATTGCCACTGAGCCTAATGAACCTTATGAGAATGTGTGATGCTATCATTCATCAAAAGGCATATTAGGCAAGCATCTTTTCTTTTTTTTTTTTAAACCTGGATACTATGTGTCAACTTTAATACATGCTATTTGCAGCTTGTGCTTCCTTTAGGGCCGAATATTTATAAATCCCATGTCAGCAAACACATCCGTCAGGGAGAGGAGAATCTGGGACAGACAGACGGAGCGTGGATGCATTTAGTCAAGGGCGTGCTTGCTGAGGGAATGCCATCTTCCCCACCCATGTGGGCTCCGCGTGGGATTAGCACGTTATGTCGACTCCCGCTGTTCCATCCTCGTTCACTGTGATTGCAGTGCTGTGGCGGCACTGGAAGAAAATTTTGATTGAAATGGCCATCAGGGGCCGATTATTTTTATGGGGCTGGCCATGGGTAAAAACTTCCAAACGGGGGGGGAGTGAATGGTAAAAATGTACCGAATGGGGGGATCATTGCCAGCAGATCTATGTGTATTGATTTGATGTGATATCCGGCCTGGCAGGTCACTAATTTCAGCCGCTTGTCTGGGGTGAAACACTATGAAGCTGCATCTTCATAAGATCACCTATAAATCCTCCTTTAGCAGCTTACCAGCATGCTTTTCTGGATTAAGACAAGAATGGAAACACACCAGTCGTTATTAGGCTTGAAGTGTTATCCCTAGTGAATAAATAGTGACTGCTTTCAATATGGCAACTTTCTGCACATTATACACACCTTTACTTGACTCATACTGTAAATCATATAGATGCTTACTTGTCCCCTTAAACTTGGAAAGACACTTGTTTCAATAAAACTAAGACACATTTATGTGAGAAGTAATTCTGGCCATGTTCACAGATAATGCTTTAAATCATAACAATATTATGTGTTAATGCACTTGCCAGACTGCTTCTACCAATGGTGGGCAATCTTATCCGCAAAGGGCCAGTGCAGGTTTTTGGGATAACCTTTAGGTCAGCTGTTAAAACCCAGGTGTGAGGACTCTTCGGTCAATCAGTCCCCTAATTAATAATCTAGTTAGGGAGTTGCAGCAAAATCCACATACCCAACGGCACTCTCTGGATAAGATTACTCACCCCTAGCTTATACTATAAAAAGACACAGTAACATTTAAAGAAACAGTTTTTATTATTCTTGATCTGTTTTAATAATGTGCAAGTATAACCTACAATCCAATTCACTTCCTCCTGCTAAATGCTAACTTTGATGAGCTATTTTTGCAGAAACAAAATCTTATAGTTGTTTTTTGAAGTTTCACCAAAATTGCTCCAGAGCAAGTTTTATATATCAAAAAGATTAGAAAACGTCTTATAAGTTTAAGAATGACAGATTTAACATGCAGTGTACAGTGACCTCGTCAGCATAATAAGGTGCAGTCTTCCCCATTGCTCCAACATTTCTTTCCATACTTATGGAAGATTCGATTTTCTTTAATGTACCGTCATCTGTAATTGATTTCTAAAGCTCAGGCAGCTTGCAAGTAGAATATCTACCAAAAGTTATACAAAAGTATTCAAGCTCTAAGTAGCAAAATCTTAGATAACACAATATATACTGTAAGAGAAGCTGCAATTTCCTCCAGAACAAAAATTTCCATTTAAATAATATAAAAAATTACATACAAAATACAAAACAAGACAACCTTTCATACCTAGCACCCAGAGGTCATTACAGTCCACTGCTTGAACCATTACACTTGTCAAATACAACCTTTATACAATAAAGTGTCCAATAATACAATAAAATTAGATATTAAATGGAAATCCTAAAATTTCATTCAAATGTACTGACCAGTTATCTCCCATTTACTCTCATGTCTCAAAATGCAATTTTAATGAAAATATTGACCATACTAAGAGAGCAGAGAAACAGGGAAATTTAAGCATTTTTATAATTTTATAGATATTATATGCCTTTATGATATTGTATGTCTTTCGGGGAAAACATCAATATAGTTAAAATGATGACTAGTACTTGCTTTCTCCCCTCGTTTACAGCATGCAGTCTTGCCACGGACACAGGGGCTGTAATCTTTAATTAAGGGTGTGGTCTGCCAGTGGACGAGGGATCAGTTGAGAAATTGGTCTCGTGCTGCGTTTGGGCAGTGACCACACAGCACTTGAGTAATAAAACGCAGCTTGCAGCCTCCGTGAGCTTTTGCCGCATGTTTCAGGCAGAGCACTGCAGAAGTTCCCTTCCCTTAGGAGCATCCTAAGGGATGTGCAATCACACCAGCTTGATGGCACCAAGGAAAGTGGAATCCCCATCTAGAGACACGTTGGCAGATTTGCGGGGGATCAGCAGCTCGACGCGATCTCCCACCTCCAGTTTGACGATGCCTGACGAGCAGTGACAGAAAGACACGGCGAATCAGCTTGTCATAGCAACACTGTTGTATGTACACCCAACACAGAAACCAGGATAGAATCCTGGCTTAGTGCATTTTGCTGTGGCAAAGGATGTCATTGTGCAAGAGTGCCGATGGTTACAACTACAAGCGTTGCTTGGCAACAGACTGGCATTATGCTCAAATGGAATATGAAAGACCTTTTTTTTTTTTCCTAATTAGCCCTATTTAGTAAAACTTCACAAATAAAAGGCTGCCATTTTAGGTATACCTCCTGTGTAGCAAGTGTTGTAAGGATAGTCCGGGTCCATGTTCTGAACGCAGCGGAACAAAATTACTTTTTTCAGTTCATCGCCGACGATGTTCTGCTTTTTTCGGACGATAAAGTGACCCATAGCAAAGGTCGTGTCCATGTAAAACACCTGGTGAACATATATAAAGAATTATTCTAAAACACATATTCTGATAACCAAATCATCAGCCAACTCCTAGATCTTGAGGAGAATGTCTATAATACCTGAGTGTACTTATCTACTGGAATTAAAGACTAAACAGATTAAAAGTGATATTTACCAATAGCTAAGAACTACATACAGTGGTACCTTGGTTTACGAGCATAATCCGTTCCGGAAACATGCTTGTACTCCAAACACTCGTATATCAAAGCGAATTTTCCCATTAGAAATAATAGAAATTCATATGATCCGTCCCACAACTCAAAAATATTCATATAAAAATTATTAATACAAAATATAAAGTAATAATACATATAACAAATTAGCCTGCGCTTTACCTTTGAAAAGAAATGTGGATGGTGTGAGGGAGACGAGAGAGGAGAAGAGGAGGGTTATTTTGTAGGACGACTTTCACTATAACTAACGGAATCACTGCTATCTGTTGGCTCACTGGAATCTTTTTCTTTTTGTGTGACTTTAACAAGGAACCTATCCAATGACAGCCGCTTTTGCCTCCTTTTCGATTTCACAAAAATGTGGACATTGCATTGTCGTTAAACAGATTCATCGCTCGCACTGCTACGCCCTTATTCAGGTGGTGCTTTTCTACTAAATTTTGACTATATGATTGAGGCATGCCGACTGAGGCCGAGCATGGGAGACGATTACCCACAATTTCACAGCGTGAGAAAGTGAATAACCATTGGTTCAGTTGTGATGACGTGTGCTCGGCGTCAAAACAAGAAGCGCACGCATGCGCTTCCTGTTTTGAAGCCGAGCACACGTAAAAACAAGAAAAACAAGGAGCGCATGTGTGCCATATGATTTTTGATGATACTTGGCGCTTGTAAACCAGGACTTGCTCGGTTTCCAAGTCAAAATTTATAAAAAATCTTTGCTCGTCTTGCGGAACACTCCTAAACCGCGTTACTCGTAATCCGAGGTTCCACTGTATTCATGCATCACATGACAGGGTAACACTTTATTTGAGGGGGCACTGATTTAGTTACTCAGTTACCACTCTAGAATAAATCATGAACAAATGAATGAAATACATGAACTTTCAAGACTGATTAATCATGAACGAACGTGGGTCAGTACATAACGAACACTTAGTTACTAGTTAATTAATGCATTATGTAAGTGTGTACTACTACATTACTTGTGCCCCCTCCCAGATCCCGTGGACTGCCTGTGGGTTCCCAAAGATCAGGTTGGGACACACTGCTCTAGGGAGTGACAGATATCACTGCTTGGGGGTGTGCTGTTCATCACAGTTGATGTTATGGGCAGTGTGCCGATTCTGAACTAATCAAAAATCACCTGACTGTACACAAAATAGAAGCCCTCCTCCTTGACAAGGATGGCGCCCTCCTTCTCCTCCAGGGCGATCCCCCGCTTGAGACCGGTCAGCCAGGGAAGGACCGTGTGTTCTTCTGAAAGATGCACACCATGTGAGCAGGATCCACCCACAGCGGGGTTCACCTGCATGGCACCACCCGGGATATGAATCCTGTACAAGTCTGCTTCTGTCCCTCATTTCAATCTTCAAACTTGCTGCAGGCAGCTAACAAGTATGCTGGCAATTTGTCTTATTATTAATGTTACTATATTATGAATGAGAATGATAACGCAGTTGTAAGGGGACGGAGCATAGACATTCTGAGGCGGAGCATTGTCAGGTGACATTCACATTCATGCACATCACAGGCGCAGTATTTCCATCAGTATTGACTGAGTCTTCAGTCACCCACAATAAACAAGCCCAGACCCTGATCGCCCACTATATACACACCTGTAACCCACAAACAAACCTGTCTCGCTGTCTAGTGTATTTCTTTTTACGCACTGATGGCAGTTTTATTGTTTCTTCCCAGCCCCTTTTGTTGCGTGCATCTCCTCTAACATCCTCAAATAAACTCCCAGTCTCAAAACCCGTTGCTGTTATTTGGTTCTGTTTACTGTCCAACTCAGAGCAAGTCATCCAATGAGCCAAAACTTTATTAAACTTATGACATGACATAATCAATACCATTTACTAAAAATGTTATTTCTGCAAAATACATTTGTTTAACACATAATTTACAATGTCATTTTCATTGTTCTTGTTAATAATTGACTTTGCATTTTTTAATTTTAAGCACATCTTTCAATTTTGGATTTTCAGTTACACACAGCCTTAAAAACAAGCCCTCTCCCTACCATTAACACTAAGGTACACCCCCTTAAGTGGGTATTCCACCTTTTCTGACTAATTAACTTTTCGATTAACTTTAATCCGATTCACATAATGAGGAATGCCCTCACTCAGGGCGGTAATTAGCCTAAATGGCCCTCTGGATAAAAGGCGGTTCCTACCTTGCAGGGTGAGCCCTCTATTGCTGTTGGCCATCATCTGCAAACAGGGCTGCAACACTAAAATGCAAATGCTCAGTAGCAGGCAAAAGATACGCAGAGCAGCATATTACTTGCACATCATAGAACATATGCCACATAATTGGCTTTTTAATAAGAAACTGCTTTTTTGGTAGATCTGTTTTGAATTCTAGATTCACCTGCATTTTTTTTATGTTTGCCAGAAAATCCTACAATGTCTACAGCAAACTAAAACAGGCATGAGGAGAGCATGCATATTTTGCCACAGAATATTTATGATTTACTTTACTTTAATGCAGTGTTTCTGAACCTGGTCCTTGGGGACCCCCATCAATGCATGTTTTTGCTCCCTCCCAGCTGCCTGCCAGAAAGACCACATTTTTGCTTCCTCCCAGGAAGCTGGGAGGGAGCAAAAACATGGACTGTCAGGGGGGGGGGGGGTCCCCAAGGACTGGGTTGAGGAACACTGCTTTAATGTGACCAATTACATCAAAACAAACTCCTCATAGTCGGGGTGTACACGGCAAGTTAAAGTTGATTCTGATAAAGCTGGGCTTGGCTTGGAACAATCTCACCTACACACTACTGTTATTTAGCATGAGTAATGTACCACACCTAAGTTACGTGAAATAAACTGAATGGAGGCAAACCTTTTGCCATAAGTACAACTGCTGTTTATAGCAAAGTGACCATTGCTACCACATGGCCTAGAGCATAAGTAACACCTAGACAAATAAAAAGAATATCTGCCTTTTTCAGAAGACCTCTTCTTTATGTTGTGCACAACTGGCTGAGATGGGAGAATATTTGCACTGGGTTTGGAGTTCAGTTTACTATTTGTGGGATCCAGAGTCTGAAAGAGATGACACAGATGGTCTAGGCCACAGACAGAGAAGGGATCTCCTTCAGCATTTTAAACTCTAGTGGTTTGTAATGTAATATACAGTACTGTGCAAAAGTGAAAATGTTTATGGCTATTTATGTGGGTAGTGTGTTTTTGGTCAAAAAACACAATTTAACATTAGAATATATGCAATTCATCATTAACACAAAACCCTAAACAAAAACTTCTTGTCTTCTCCAAAAAGTTACTAGGTGGAAGTCTGGATGAATGCTGCTTCAGTTCCCAAAACCCTCCTCGGGGGCACCTCATTCATGCTATGTATTCATTAAATTTCATAAACAGCTCATTTAATTAATTTGTGTAATTAGTTAAATACCTCAATGAGGTATTGATTACCTAAAGAAGGTGGGGTGGTGGTTGAGTCAAAAAAATACATGATATATTGGAAAGCTACTACAAATAACAGGGTGACTTTAGGAGAGATTTTGAAATAGCTAAGCTGACACATTTTGGCTGACTTAATATCAGTTTTACGCCAACATGAGTATCATTTAATTACCTTTACCTTTGACTGCCTAAGACAGGGGTGGCCAATCTTATCCGCAAAGGGCCGGTGTGTATGCAGGTTTTTGGGATAACCTGTAGGTCAGCTGTTCAAACCCAGGTGTGAGGACTCTTCAGCCAATCAGTCCTCTAATTAGTAATCTAATTAGGGAGTTGCAGCGAAAACCCGCCACACAGCAGCTCTTTGCGGATAAGATTGGCCACCACTGGCCTAAGACTTTTGCACAGTACTGTATATGAAGAGGCTTTTCTTTAGAAGATACATCAGCTAGGTAGGTCTAAGTTAGAAAACGTGTAGGATGTGAAAAGCAAATTCCCCAGGGTGGTGTTCTGGGGTCAGGCCTGTGCTCAGCTTACCTTCTTCTTTCCAGCGTGGGTCTCCTGAGGTTCCTGAGGCCGTCCGGCCAGCCGCTGTATGGACACGCTCTGCTGCTCGCTCCTCCTCCGGCTCAGCTCGGCATGGAGGCCGACCACCTCGGCCTTCAGGGCGAGGATGTGGTACAGCGAGAGGACAGAGAGGGACGACGAGGTGACGGCAGCCAGGGTCAGGACTAGCACAGCCCAGGAGAGACGCCGATTCTGAGCTTCAGGAGCAGCACAGGACGAGCCGCTCCTGAGAGCTGCCGCCATGTCAACAGCGTGGCTCAGACGACGAGCATGACCAGATCAGCGACACTGAGAGACGGCAGCCTGCTGCCTTCAGGGTTGGACTGCACTGTACAGCGCAAAAGAAACAGAAACAGAGTAGAGAGAGGAAAAAAAACAGAAGCGGTACAAATGCTGTGGATTCCGGTTAGACGAAAGTTTGCTTCCTGTCAGACTGGCCACAGATCCAAATTCAATACTTCATTTCGGCCTTTTTTTATCGGGCCAAACAAAAAAACAAACATGACCCTATCATATGTCTCGAAATATATTATAAAAAAAAAAAGAGAAGGCTAGCATGTTGTAATGCAAGGTCTAAAAAAAATCAAATAAAACAACCCAAATCCCAAGTGTAAGCAAGTTTCTTTTGGTCAAAGACAGCTCCAGGAAATATAAAAGGCCTCACTATTCAATGCATCAATATGCGCAGTTGAAGGAAGTCCCCTTGTGTCAAGAAATACTTAGTAGAGATGGCAAGAAAAATTCCTCTAAAAGCAGAAGTGATGTGCAATTTTACATTTTATTTCGAAGAGAAAAAAGATCATTGCTATTCCAGTTAATGGCAATCACGTTATCCTTTATTTCGCTGCAAGTTCAATTACCCTTTTACACAGGACTTGGAAAGATTTCCCCAACATTTAACAAATTCTTACAGAAGCCAAACACTAGACAAGTCGCTGAACCTTAATTTCAATTTATTGCATGTAACAGTAAATAAAATAGAAACTGTGACTGTATCTAAAAAAATTAAAATTCTCACACTCTGATACAATAAGTGTGAAGAAAGACCTTTCAATGTTGTTATACAAAGGGATGACAAGCCATCCACAATCCATGCCTTCTTATAAATAATATCGATATCCAACCATTTCAGCACTGCAAAAGAGCAAAACCAAGAATACACATTGGATTTCTATAAACATTCAATGAACCATGGCACATTGTTTTGAGTGCGGGTATGTATACAGTCCTATTCTCATGTTAGAGACTCGTTTTTAAATCCTTAAAACAAATTAAGTATTAGAAAATCAATAAGGCCTTCAGTAATATCTGAATTATACCTGCACGAATGCTAACTTTGTTTATGAACATCTAGCAATGAACATCTATAGAAACTTTCAGGCAATTAACATAGGATTCTATTACTCGTAAAACTTAATTGATATGCTTTAATTGATATGCTTCAATCACATCACTTTCATTTGTAATCTAAGTGCTAAAATAGGCCAAAAGGTAAAACAGGTCAACAAATTAAACCAGTAAAGCCAGTCACTCGGGATGCAATGAGATCCAAGAAGGTATAATTTAACCGTAAAACCCAACCATTTGGAACTTAACCACTAGTGCCTAAAGTATATGGTTGAATGATGGAATAATGATTGGCTGCAGTGTGTCGTGATTTGCTTCAATTAAATATATGTAATAGAATAATGGGGGGGGGGGGGTTGAACATTGAGTGCAAAGCACCTGTAACCTGAAGGCAGACACACACACACACACACACACACACACACAGACAAAATCCATTTAACTGAAATGTGATACAATGGACATATTGCATAAAACCATATGTAATGTGTAAATGGCTTGGAAATTATTTAAGGAACGTTCAGATATTCCATTTCATACGGATGTAATCCCTGGAAGACGTGCAGATAATCAGCTCACCAGGATGTTCCATCTAAACAGTCGCTCCATTTATTAAAAAAAAAAAAAAAAAAAAGGTGAAGTTGAGGGACTTAAAAAATAAAAATAAACAATTGGGGGGAAAAACAAAGCATTCATGAAAAAAATAGAGGAATATTTGAATATGAACTGCACCGGCCTTAGATGTGTGGCTACAATACAATTGCTGCGCTCTCTTAAAAAAAATCTACAGTTACAGTGCAATGTACCCCAGTGTGCTGACACAGCAGGCATGTCAACGACCTCGGATTGGCTCCCGTACTTCGAGCCTGAGACCGCAACCGCGCAGCTAAGAATGGGGACCGCTCGTGTGAAAAGCGGCAGGGCTAAGCCGCACCGAGTTTCCTGTAGCCAACCGAACGAGGTGTCGTTTCCACTGTTTTCTCACCTAAGTTCCAGAAAAGCACCAGCACAGCCTGCTACTGTACATGTGATGACTACCTGTACTTCTAGAAATGGCTCCATAAATTAGAAGAATAGTGAAGACTTGGTATAAAACACTCTGGAATGAAATGTGTCTCTCTTCTGGTTGTACAAATGAGTTAAGGCCTAAATTAATTAAAGTAGTTTAGCATGCATCCATAAAATTCTGACAGTCTCTGGGTACGTTTTATTTCCACACCTGGGTCACCATAATTCAGATGCAATTTTACAAATGTAAAGTGAATAATAATAATAATAATAATAAAACATAAGAAATGCACATTCTGTCACCGCTCACCCTCACCTAACAAGACCAGGTGGGCAGCGGAGGGGCTTAAATGATGGTCACGCTGGCCCCGGATTGGACGGTTTCCTCCTGAGCATGACTCTTCAGGAGGTCCTTAATGAACTGCTCAAGGGCAGCGAAGTAGCCCTGGCACTGCCACGTGTCATTGTGCGTGCCGTCCGGGAAGACAGCCAGTCTTTTGGTCCGAGAGGGCGACAACTCGTACAGCTGCTTCATCATGACTGGTGGGATGAGCTGGTCAGATAGCCCCGAGATGAAGAGCGAAGGCACCCGGCACTGTGCGATCTGCCGGTACGACAGGAACTTGTTCTTATAGCAGCACAGCGGAAGGTACCTCATGGGGAGGAAGGAGAAGAGGGTACTGGCCATATGAGGGATGCTCAAGAAGGTGTTCTCCACTATGATGGCCGCCACACGGTGGGGATTCCCCGAGGCCAGGTGCACAGCCACAGCTCCCCCCAGCGAGCGCCCGAACAGGATGATCTTTGTCTTGTCGATGTCCGGCCTCGTCATGACATGATCGAGAGCGGCCTCCGCATCCAGATACAGGCCCTCCTCGCTGGGCTCACCTTCGCTCTTCCCATAGCCCCGATAGTCCAACAACACCACGTTCACCTTCAGGTGCACCAACATCAGCAGCGCATTGGGAATGCGGTGTCCAATGTTGCCGGCATTGCCGTGGAAATAAATGATGGTGGGCGCCAGGCTGGGGTTCTCGCCCACGTACCGCAGCAGGATGAGATTGAGACGCACGCCGTCCCTGGTCCTGATGAAGATGTTTTCGTGCGGGACCCCTGTAGGCACGGGGACGTAGAGGCGTGATGAGGAGGGCTGATCGGGGAAGTAGAGAAGCACGTCCTGAAACTTGTAGAGGATACCGGCCACGGACACCAAGATGAGCGCCAGCAGCAGGAAACCGCCGTACAGATGGAAGGTGAGGATGAGGGCCAGGAGAGAGACCCGACACACGCTCCAGGACCAGGAGCCCATGGCCAGGAGCCACCTCTGCACCACCACCCACAGCCTCCACGGCTTCTCCATTGTGGTGCGCTGAACAAAAGAAGCCCCTTCTTACAAACTGGATACCCTGGACAGACACATGCCAACAAGGGGCATGGGATTGGGGTTGGGGTGGGGGAGGGGGATAAACAAGCAGAGTCAAAGGTCATATGGATAAAGTTATGCCAGACATAGAAATGTCAAACAGGAGCAGGACAGCCCGGGCGGCCTTAACAAGAAAACACGTACAGTTACAGCTCAGAAATACCTTACGCACCTGTCTTTTAGAGGATAACCTAGAGCAGTATTTCCCAATCCGGTCCTGGGGACCTGCAGACAGACCACGTTTTTACCCTACTGGGAGCTGGAAGGGAGCAAATATGTGGACTGTCTGGCAGGGAGCATAAACATGAACAGTCTGTGGGTCCCTGAGGACTGGGCTGGGAAACACTGCCCTGGAGCAACTAATAATGTACAAGGGTAAATAAAGGAAGCACACAGTCTAAATGCCAGATGGGTTTCAGCCAACCCTTGCTGCTAATTTAATCAGAAATAAAGTACAACAACTAATTATAAATATTTTGCCACAGCAAACAGAAAATCAACCTAATACTATTATAGTACCTGACAGTGAGTGATGATGCATTCTAAAAAAAGTTTAAAAATATACATTACCATAGATAGTTCAGACCTGGATATTCACTACAGAACTGCAGTTTTTATGATGCTAAATGGCTCGTTCTACCACAACAATACCACAGAGCTAAAGAGGAGGGGTCCAATGGACTTACCCCAGTGCAGAGAAGGCAATGTGGACAACCCTTGCAAGCGTGCTGGTTTGTATGGTAAAGGCCTTAAAAACAGCCAACTTCTTAAAGAAAACTGTTTATTTCCTGTGGTAGCTTATTCTGGTCTCTGTGGTCGGGAACCACTACAAGCTCCAGGCCCTGCCACATTATCAAATAACCTCTCATCTAGAAAGCCGTGAAGTCACAAATGGCTTTTTAACGTTTAGTACCAGGCCTATAACGATAGAGCAATGCTACCACCTGCAGACGGGAGACGGTATGTTGCACACAATTCTGCTCACTTAGCCACTGCTGCATTTAATGGACGGAAATGATGGGTACGGCTTCGTTTACGGACGCAATATTCAGATTAACACTGACTTGGACTTCATTCGTTGGGATCGAGGGAAATTCCAACAAAAACATAAAAATGTCCCCAAATGAAGTGGCACAAAAATTGCAGGTGGCCGTAGCTAGCGAACCCGACCCACTAGAGCGTAACAGGAGGCCGGATGACACCTTTAAACCAGAAAAGGTCAGAGAGCTTGCGTCAACATCGAAACCGTGTCGGTGGGTCTCAGGTAACACCTAGTGGACTTTCAGCAAATCTCTGGGACTCGCCGGCATTTTGAACCTAAATGACACGACAGTATAGGATTACTGAGCGTAGTAATATATATATTAGCCACCATTTTAAAGCTATACGTTACTCTCTTGTTAGTAGCATAACATGACGTTCCTTGCAAAGAACCAGAACCTTATTCACGATTCGGTAAGCTAACATATTACCGAAACGTTAGCTGTCATGAAGTCAGACTTTAAAAAAACAAACATCATTTAAAATAGCCCTATAATAAAACACCAAGAAGCACCTGACTATTTAAACGTCCCAGGTGTACCAGGTACAGACTGGTAGAGGAGCTATGCACCTACTTCGAGCCATACTATGAAGACTATTTAGCAACACTGCTAGCTAGGTAGTGATATGACCACGTTAACACCAAGCGGGGATGTATTTTCCAGTGCCAAATCAAGTCAATTAGCTAACTAGCTACCCCGAGATGCCAAACCCTTCCTGGTGGCAGACGGGAATGCGGGATGTGCGTCTCTTCGGTAAGATCAGCGGACGTTAGCTACCAGGCTTGAACAGCAGTAATTACTTCATTCCAGTATTGGGTTACCTACATTTTCACGAAGTGTATCGCCGAATAGGGCGTACTTACTTACTTTTCTCTCATCCTTTTGAAGAATGAGTCTATACGATGGAAAAAAGAAATGAAAGAGAACCACTACCTATGGCAAGCACACCATGTCTATCCAGTTCGCACCCAGCTCACTCCATTTCAAGCCGTAGATCTTGAGCCGGTGGTGTTACCGTCAAGAAAGTCCGGGTAGAACAAACTCACATATATGTATAAATTAAAATTAATATACATATATATGTATAACTTGTAATAACAATTAGATCGTTCACAAATAAAGTACTTAAGGATATGACATTCGGTCGTAATATAACATTTAAAGGAAAATGTTCTCTCCACGATTCCGTTGGGCTAGTGTACATTTACCACTTATTGGGCTGAATTTCCGGCAATCCTACGCGGAAGTGAATGTGGTGTTCCATTCTTTTTCTCTCCTCTCACCATTTCTACCTTCTTGTATTGGTATTTGGGTTGTCTTTTAATGCTGGTAGTGTAACTACATTTTGCATATTTTGTAACGCATTCGGTAAGCTCCGCCATTTATTTATGAATATTATATGAATCTACGTTGTATTTTACAGTGAAGTTCATTTTTAACAGGTACGAAAGTAGCAAACTGTATTATGGCAATGGTCTAAAACGCTTAACCTTCTAAAGCTGTTTGGAAACTTTAAAACACGTTCAGCCATATCCTTATACAGTACCGGGTTTCTATGGAGAGGAAAATGCTTAACTTGGATTTACTTGAATTGAATCATGTTGTCTTTGTATAATAGTTTAACATATTTATTTAAGGTAAATGTACCAACGAAGTGTGAGGGAATTTTGGTTTAAAATCACAACTTGAACCTTTTTTTCTACGATAAGCGTTTTGTACTGCACATACAGTTCTTTTCAGTTTTGATACATTGGTAGATGAATGAATTTGTCACCAGAGCAAGTCCGGGCTTGTAATTAGACCACTACACTTTCTGACGTATAATGTTGTGAAATTACATTGTATTGTTTCTATTGTTTGTGTTTTATCACTATACTATATTTTACCGTTGATTCTATTTCTTGGCACATCTTCCTGCATCCCCTCTTGACGTATGCAATTGTTTGTTGTTATACATTCTAATTGAAACTGAATACTGTTCACGGCGCCTCTTTTGTGTGTATGTAATGTTTTACTCTTAGTTTAAGCAATAATAGATTAATTGTAGAGGGCAAGTGATGCTTTCTATATGAAATTTTAAACAGTTACGGTGCTAGGCACTGTAAATATTTGGGCACTATTTGTCTTATTTTCCGAGTGGCACACTTCTGCCATGGTAGATAATAAATTTAGTTTCTCTGTCGTCTTTTGACATGTATGCCCACACATAAATCTGTTCTTTAGCACCTGACGTTTAATTTCCTACTTTAAGTTATCGTGGTTATTGACTCGGACATCAATACAGCACATTGTCACAGAGCGAAAGTTCAACCTACATTATTGACAAACAGAAAAGGAACGCAGCAAACAAACAATATAAAGAAGGAAAAGACAACAAGAACATACTTTCCGCCTATCGTACATAAAAAGAATAGCATTGTGTACAATTTAATCGCTTGTGTGATTACCGCACAATTCCCTATTGAATTGACTGGTTTGAAGATCGGTAAATCCATTTTCCACAAATAGATGGCGTAATTGGAGCGCTTTTTAAGTTAAAGTATTTTCAGATTGTTACATGGGTGACATATCTAGTTTTTTAATTGTCATTTTTATTAAATTACTGTACATTTTCCACGAATATTTCCCATTGTTTATCTTTTTCTTGATTTGAGAATGAGCATATTAGAAATCAAAGGAAACTCCTTATTCTTTTAGACTCCTGGAATATATAACAGTTTTATTAATTTTCTTGTTACCATGATTGCTATTTTGAATTTGTAACATTCCCTACATGGTTTCCCCCCCCCTCAGGGTCTTGCATACTATAATGGAAGAAGAACCAAGCAGTGCTGACACCTCTCAGAGTTCTGTAGCTTCCCAAGTTCCATTTCTACATCTGTGTTTGACATTAGAAAAAATACAGAAAGCTAAGTCTCGACCCGATAAGGCCAAGTGTCTGTCAGATTTTATTGATTCCTGGAGGAAATTCCATGCTGCCCTCCACAAAGATAATCCCAGAACCACTGATTCTTTTTACCCAGCCATGCGTCTTCTTGTTCCCCAGTTTGAGCGAGAACGAATGGCCTATGGTATCAAGGAGAGCATGCTTGCCAAATTGTTTATTGAGGTGTTGGGGCTTCCAAAAAATGGACCAGAAGCGAACAAACTTCTGAACTACAGAGCTCCTACGACGTCTAAGGGAGATTCAGGGGATTTTGCCATCATGGCTTATTTTGTCTTGAAGAAACGATGCATGAGTAAGGGAAAGCTGACTATTAGGGAGGTAAATGACTTCTTGGACTCAGTGGCTATCAACAATGCTGCTAAAAAGAAGGATCTTGTCAAGAAGAACTTATTACATTTGTTAACACAGACCTCAGCCCTGGAGCAGAAGTGGCTCATTCGGATGATTGTGAAAGACATGAAACTGGGCATAAGCAAGGATACTGTACTCCAGGTCTTTCACCCAGATGCAACAGAGCTGTACAATGTCACTACAGACCTTTCCAAAGTGTGTCAGAAGCTTCATGATCCTACTGTATCTCTCAGCGACGTATCCATCGAATTGTTCTCAGCTTTCAAGCCTATGCTGGCAGCTATTGCCAACATCAAGCAAATAGAGAAACAGATGAACAATCAAACTTTCTACATTCAGACAAAGTTAGATGGAGAACGCATCCAGATGCACAAAGATGGGGATGTGTACAAATACTTCACCCGCAATTCTTTTGAGTATACTCAGCAGTTTGGGACATCACCATTAGAGGGATCTTTGACCCCCTTCATTCACAATGTCTTCAAGTGCCATGTTAATAGATGCATCTTGGATGGGGAGATGATGGCATACAACCCCACCACTGACACGTTCATGCAGAAAGGTAGCAAGTTTGACATCAAAAGGTTAGTAGAAGATTCTGAATTGCAGACCTGCTTCTGTGTCTTTGATGTTCTTCTAGTTAATGATCAAAAATTTGGACATGAGACACTGAGGAAACGTTGTGATATTCTGAAGACCGTCTTCACCCCGCTTAAGGGGCGAATTCATTTAGTGCCTAAAATTGAAGCTAAAACCATGCAGGAGGTGGTTAATGCCTTAAATGAAGCCATTGACAATCGTGAGGAAGGGATCATGGTAAAGGATCCCATGTCTACATACAAGCCAGACAAGCGAGGAGAGGGGTGGCTCAAGATAAAACCAGAATACATGGATGGTTTGATGGACGAGCTTGACCTGTTGATCCTGGGGGGTTACTGGGGAAAAGGTTCCCGAGGTGGGATGATTTCTCATTTTCTGTGTGGCCTCGCTGAACCTCCAAAACCCGGAGAGAAACCAACGGTGTTTCATTCATTGTGCCGCATTGGCTCAGGTTACACTATGAAGGAACTGTATGACCTGGGCCTAAAGCTTGCTAAGCACTGGAAGGTCTTTCGCAAGAATAATCCTCCAGCATCCATACTGTGTGGCACCGAGAAACCAGAAGTTTACATTGAACCTTGCAACTCGGTGATTATTCAGGTCAAGGCAGCTGAAATAGTGTATAGTGATATGTATAAAACAAACTGCGCTCTGCGTTTCCCCAGGATAGAGAGAATCAGGGAAGATAAGGAATGGCACCAGTGCATGACGCTAGATGACCTTGATCAGTTGCAGAGCAAGTCCTCTGGGAAGCTGGCATCAAGACACCTGTATATCAATGAAGACGAGCCCGATAAGAAGAAGCGGAAGTTTGTGGCAAAACCCAAGAAAGCCATTGGCATTGTTGACCACTACAAATCCCAAGACCTGTCCAGCGTGACCAAAGAATTCGATATGTTTGAAGACGTGGAGTTTTGCATCATGAATGGGAGTGAAGAGCATCCCAAGGCTGAGCTGGAGAAAGGAGTGGCGAAATGTGGTGGAATCATAGTACAGAATCCTGGCAAGGACACCTACTGTGTCATTGCAGCTGTCGAAAACCTGAGGGTGAAGAACCTGATTTCAGCTAATCAGCACGACATTGTGTGGGCATCCTGGCTGCTGGAATGTCTGGAAAAAAAGGGTCTGGTACCATGGCAGCCCCGTCACATGATTCATATGTCTCCATCCACGCAGGAACATTTTTCCAAGGAGTATGACCAGTTTGGTGATAGCTATTATGTTGACACTGATGTACAGCAGCTAAGAGAAGTTTTCTCCAGAGTAAAGACCTCAGGGCCAGAAGTGCCGTCCATTTCAAACGTGGAGGCGAGGTACGCCTTTGATGACTTGCCCACCAGCATGTTCAGGCCTTTCGCAGTCTATTTCGACCGCTGTGCTGACATCGGGGACACCAAGAGCCGAATACGTGGGACGTGCTTGGACACGCGGTCACTGGAGCTTTGCTTCCATGGAGGAACCGTGGTATCGGCGCTTGCAGAAGGGGTCTCTCATGTCATTGTTGCAGAGGACACTCGAGTCCAGCAGCTAAAAATGCTCCGACGCATTTTTGCCAAAAAATTTAAAATTGTGAGAGAATCCTGGGTGACAGACTCTATCAAAGCAGGGCATTTGCAGAATGATAATGACTACCTAGTATAATGTTTAAAGTCAATGTGCATTAAAGTCAATGCACTGAAGACTTTTTTGTGATTGGTAAAGTTCTGTGAATGAAGAACGAATAATTAGGAACATGAATCTTATCTTACTGACTGCAGTGGTATCCTGTATTTGTTTATGAACATGTGGATTGGAGGATTGGAACAAATCTAAAGTTTTTGTATAATAAAAATGTGCATTTTAGATGTATTTGTGCAAAAGAAATAAAATTTTGATTGATTCTTTTTCTGGTATTCATAGTCATTTGACAAGAAGGTTCAGAATGTTAAATTCTTTATTATTCATAAATCGCATGTTGGAAAGGTTACGGCATTGTCATGCTTTATAAAATGTATCGGTTTTTAAACACAAGCTGTGTTTTATAGATGGAAGGAGTATGTTAATATACTGTGCAATGAGTATCGAAATAATAAGGCCTGTCACTTTCTGATATTCTTACCTGGAATAATAATTGTCGAGGGACAAATACTAAAGACACATGTCTTGTTTTTCAGAAAGCACAGACATTCACTGTTCATTTAAAGGGCAAAATGCAGAAGTACTGCGAGTCAATGGATAAGCTGCTGCGCTCGCCTAAAATGGAAAAATGGAATTTACAAATGGGGGTTGGGGTGGGGGGTGGGGGGTTGGCACTACAGCATGATATGCATGAAAGAGCATTGAAACAAAAAGAGCATTGAAACAAAATCCTTTGTGCAATGATCATGAGGCATATTTATGTTCTTTTTTTTTTTAGAAGCATGCCATTTTTTTCTTGAAGATTTGTCCAAGGCAACATACAAGTACTGATCAGAGAACAGGGTCAGCGTTGCTCCTGGCCCCAGCAGTGATGCTGTCACTTTGCTGGCCATAGCACTTGTACCCACAGACTTTAAGGCACAGCACAGATCGCAGACCTGCTGAGTAACAGCACCCCGTTTCTGTAATCAGGGACAAAGCCCACAGTATAATTCACAGTTTAATGTAACAGTTAATATATGGCATTCATTAAACTCTATGCAATTAAGCAATTTGCACTTCACTGGACAGCAAAAAGTGTTTAAAGAAGTATATGATTGAGTTATTTTTACTATGAACTATCAGAATATAATCTAAACAGTGTTTACCAGTCCTGTCCTCAATGACCCCCCTAACCCCCCCACGACAGTCCTTGTTTTCACTCCCTCCCAGCTCCCTGCCAGACAATCCGCATTTTTGCTCCTCCTCAGCTCCCAGTAAAATTGTGAACACTCTGGGAGTTCCCAAGGACCAGCTTGGGAAACACTGATCTAGAACAAGCATTGTGATGGACAAAAATGAACACCAAAATACTCAATATCCCACAACCCAAACCAAGATAAGCAGTTAGATGGAAGGAAAATATTTGGTAGTTGCAGCAGCCCTGATACCTGATGACATGCTAATGATGTTCCAAGTTTATTTTTTTTTACCCCTCCCTAGAAAATAATAAGGCAGGCGCTATTTTAAGAAATACCATTTAAAGCTCATCACGTGGATTATTTACTTTACTTTAGAAGCCTGTGTGTTGATTCCTGGGTATATTATGTGAATACAGGCAGTATTAAATGATTTTTTCCCATGACAGCATCTAAAGGCACTTATTGCTGGGCATATGGATATTATGCATCATCCCAAAATAATTTATTTGCACAACATTTATATTATTCTAAGTTTAAAGTTTTATCTGTCACTTTCTCAAACATACACTGTACATATGTGTAGTGAAATGCTTTTCTACTGGCATCCAGGCAGGATGATTTTCAGATATTACCTTCCGGATCACTTAATCTGGCAAATAGGCTAATAGATAAAGTGATTGTACTGGTACAAGTGAATGCCGATACGAGAAGAAAAAATGGAAATATGGGTGAAACACAACAAATTTTATAACTGCTTTCAACTGCACTGAAGTTTTCACCAAGAAGAACACATTATGAACAATTCCATGATTGCATCAAAATTCTGTAATTTAAATGATTTGCTAGTTAAGTAATTTTTTTACAGTTCCATTAACATAAGTAAATGGCATTTTATATAAACTCTGATGAAGAAAAATTTGAACTGACTGATTGCCAGATCGCCTTGTAAACATTCAAAATTCTTTTCAGCTGCTGAGTTACACTCATTGGGTCTAAGATGATGTCGAGAAAAGCGCTGGTTAGTTTTATGAGCATCACGGTTACCCCCGGTGATGATAAATGCCCATCATTCTTTTAAGTCAACAGCAAAGGAGGGAGATCTCACTGGCCTTGTAACGGGGTGAGAGAACAGCTGCAAATACCCTGCAGTCCTGTTTTTTCATTCATCTTCTTTCACTCTTATCTAGTTGTATCAGAGGCTGCTTTCTGCAAGCATGTACAGCGCCCCTCCCCCCACGAGTGGATTGCTGTTTTTACACACTCCAGCTCTCATAGCCTCGGCGTGGTAGGCTAACATCAATTGGCAGAACACATCTTGCTGCTTGTACCTGCTGACCTGCAGTCAACTAAATTTTCCTGGGCATTTTACACTCCTCTTTCACCAGCGCAGTGCTGTTTACATCCTGTTCCTCAGCATACGATCAGAGTTGTGAGAAACTGCGACTTTAAAGTAAATAAAATATAATAAGACGTCTGTAATTCTGGCCATCTCCTGGGCAATTTCACTAAAACATACATATTAATAGTAGTCAAACAAATATTATGAACGCTTCAGAGTGCTGCCCATTGGAGGATGCTGAGTTGCTGTTTATTCATTTCCTGAACTCTTTGAACGGATTGCATAATGTGAATTTCATTTGGTGCACTGCTCCGTAAAAGCGAGCCATAGGAAGCTGATTATTGTACATTTTTCACCCGTGCATTGGTGCCATTCTTTATTACATGTTTTTCACCTTGAAATGGAAGCAGATGGGAAGCTGGGTGTTCTCCTCCATGAAGCATACATTAAGATTGCTGAAGCTAAGTCAACAGTAAGTCACATTGTACCAGTAGGTATCATGTAAATGCATGCTACAGTGCATTATATTGAAGTATAATGCAGTGCCCTTTTCCCATCTCAAATGAAGCTCAAAGCATGAATAAGCACCCAAAACAAAATGTACGATGTTAAGAAAATTTAAATATCCAGCTGTTTTTAGGGCTTAAAAAAGAAACCATGTTCTAAACACGCCAGTAATTAGCCTCTGCACCTTTCCCACCCGCTAGCAACCACAGCGATAACCCAAGACGAAGGGTTTTTAAAGGGACACTGTGCACTGTATGGCAGATCCATTTGCAGCTATTTACAAATGTACACTTAGTTTGCCAGATAATGATTGGAAATCTGCCGAACAGGATCATTCACGTCGCCTCTTGCGACGTGTGAATCCACTGCACTCTCTTTGTCTCGAGAATTCATTTGACATGATTATTATTTAGTAGTACTACAGGGATTGGACAATGAAACTGAAACACTGGCCAAAATAGTGTTTTGTGGTTTCACCCCTATATATACGGCCCGGTGGCCAATCTACACTGATTGCACATTCCATCAGTAAGAGCAAAGTGTGAAGGTTAAATTAGCAGAGCAATAGCACAGCTGTACATAAAATATTGCAAAATCCACACAACATAATGGGGTACATATCAGTGTTCAAAAGAGGACAAATTGCACATCTTGTTGGTGCATCTGTAACCAAGAGAGCAACGGTATACAAGGTGATGTCGGCATACCACCACGAAAGACGGACCCCATCCCACAGGAGTAAGCTAGGCCCACTACATGTTCTAGATGGGCGTATCACTGCTAAGGACTACCAACCCATTCTGGAAGACCATGTTCACTCAATGGTTCAAACATTGTACCCTGAAAATGGTGTGTGTATCAGGATGGTAATGCACCAACAAACAGCAATCCTGGTGACAGAGTGGTTTGATGAACATGAAAGTGAACATCTCCCATGGCCTGCACAGCTACCAAATCTGAATATTATTGAGCCACTTTGGGGTGTTTTGGAGGATCGAGTCAGGAAACGTTTTCCTCCACCAGCATCACACAGTGACACTGTTCTGCAAGAGGAATGGCTCAACATCCCTCTGGCCACTGTGCAGGAGCATAACATAAGAACATAAGAAATTTACACACGAGAGGAGGCCATTCGGCCCATCAAGGACTTGTATCTATCATTCCCAAGATGAACTGATGCTGTATTTGGTCACAAAAGGAGGCTCTACGCCATACTAAGAAATTACTGTGGTGTAAGACCAGGTGTTTCAGTTTCATTGTACAACCCCGGTATGTAGTAATTCTACTATAAATCCATAGAAGGCTCTTTTCATTGGTTTGAATATTATGTGCAATTTAAAAAATAATGAACTGTTCAACCACACTTGGAATGGCATCCACATATCCATCTTCACATAATCCCAACATGACGATCTTAACCCCTTCCCAGCCCTAACCTTCACCATAAGTAATCAAGCAAAATATAAGAATTTTAACAATTTCAGTTTTTTGATTGCAGTCACAAATTTTTATGAAATTAAGTTTCCTCTTGTGGGGACTAAAATGGTCCTCACAACATCAAAACAACAGGTTTTTATCACATTGTGGGGACCATGTGGCCTGTTACCTTTTTTAGTCCCCCACAAGGAGAATCTCAGTTTTATGAAAATCTGTGACTGCAATGATAAAACTAAAAATTCCAAAAGTCCTGTATTTAGTTTTGTTTCTTATGGGTTGTATACATAACACACACACTCACAAATACATAAATCTGATTTAGATTACCTCATTGCCTGCCATGTGTTGCTTGTATTTTCTTCCAATGTCTTGTTCGGACTTATTGAAATATTAAAAATTCATCTATAATACAAGCCATATGCAGTTTATCAGATCCATCTACACAGCCTGAAATGACTTCTGCTGCAAGAGCCGCTTATCCTCTTCTGTCTCACTTTATGAAGCACAGCGGTGTTGATCCCAGCTGTGCATGTCAACTGCTCTCCAGCATGGCGTTATACTCTATAAAATTACCATGCCAACCCATCAAGACAAGTATGACAGCCATTCTGCTTCTATCTCTCCATTTCCCCTGTATTTCTGCTGTGTTTGATGCCATCCATTAACTGAAATTCTCATAATTTTCTTTTATTCAAATTATGTATACCTCCACATTCACTGTGAATAAACTGTTTTGGATTACATGCTTACACAGACATGAAAATCTCCAGATATAGATTCCTTTTAGTAGTATTTTCTTCTT